TCTCTAATTTTTTTAAAGCTGTAATATTACTCTACAGATGATATCAAATAGATTGTCATTTGTTGTATCAGAGTATCTTATACAGGGTGGTTAAAAATTGAATTGTCGTTTCTCCATATTCACTGGCAATATATTGTCAAAATATCATGTCCCAATAAAAATATAACCGGTTTCTGACATTTCCCGGCAAATTTCCTTTCTGATGAGCTAATCAAATATAGGGCTTACCATTAACAATTGTCACTTACTTGTCATTGAATGCGGAAAGAGGTAACTCACTTTTTGACCACCTGTACAAGATACTGTAATACAACAAATGACAATCTATTTTACAGCATTTGAAGAGTAATCGTTCCAATTTAGAGCTTTTTTGAATGAACGTTTGTTGAGATATGGAGTTTTAAAGAGAATGGTGAAAATTGCCAAAAAAAATTTAAAATCAAAATAACTCTAAAACGAAAAGCGCAAAAAACTTTGAAGTGGTCACCATCTTGAAAATACTTTAGATCGAAAGGTCGGTATGAACCTCCCATATAAACTGAATTTCAGAAATAAAGCGTAATTTGGCAAAAAAAGAGAGTCCTCCTTAAAAAGCTTGAATTAGATTCTACTAGTATTGTTTGGAGTGCTTTACACTCAATTTCAAATTATTTCATGTTTTGACAATGTTAATAATTAAAACTTTATAATTTTTCAAGCACAAATGAAAAAACTTTGTTGAATGGTATCGTTTTTCAAGTAAAAATCCAATGAGTAGCATTCAAACGGTTTTTATCTGGCAACATTACACCGTTCAAATCGCGAATTATCCCGATATGTTTTGGTAAATTAATAAAATTGAAAACGACTCACCGAATGTATGTTGCTTCCCTTGGATTTTACTTCGAAGCTCAGCTGGAAAGAAAAGATAAATTAATTTATTATGACATAAAAAAAAAACTGATTCTAAACGCCACAAATTAAAAACTAAAAGGCAAAGAAGATGGTTATAAAAAGCTGGGTCAAAATGTAGCAGGCTAGAAAATGGGTCAGAAGAAGCTTGTGCTTTCTGACAGTCATGGCCGCGACTCCAGTCTCTTTCTAGCAAAATGTTTAAATGGTTATGACTTATTGAAGAATGTTGAGAAATTATGTTTTGATTTTACTAAAAATGACCCTTTTTAAGCAAATTTGATTAATGTATGAAATGTTTTGTAGATAGCAATCAGCTTTTAAACATGGTTGAAAAAACACGACATGAAAAAGCTTTTTAATTATATAGCAAACTTGATACAAGAAAATCAATACTTTAATGTAATTAGAAACCACAATCTTGTTACTATCTACTGTAATGATCAGGTTTTTCTCATTGTGGAAGAAGTAATAGAAATATTGTAAAAAATGATCATAGTTTAGAGTTATTGTACTCAAATGCTCGGGAGTTGAATAGTAAGTTAAATGTTTAGGAGGGTCATCTGATCAAAGAGTACCAAGTGCTTTGCTTTACAGAGAGTTAGTTGAAATCTGATTAAGTGATGTGCTCAAGTTGCTTAATTTTGTCCCTTGTTCATCTTTTAGTAGAAATATTCATATTCATGGTGGAGTAGTGATAATGATAAATGAAATTTGAAACTCTTGAATCTGTTAGTCGTTTGTCGCGTTAAGTACACTTTGAAATAAGTGATGTTTTATTGAATAAAGTCTGAACTGCATGAAAATGCATAGAATTAAGCTGACAAATGCTAAAGCGCAAAGTAATGCTTTGATATTACAGAAATGGTGATTGCGAGAAAATGTCTGAAATTACACTGTCAAAAGCCAAAGTTGCAAGAAAATATCTGGAATTACCTTGGAAAAAGTCTAGACTGCAAGATAATGTCTGGAATTACATTGAAAAAAGCTTGAACTGCATGAAAATGTATGGTTTTAAGCTTAGTATGCAAGAAAATATCTGCAAATGCACTGGCAAGAGTCTACATTGCAAGAAAATGTATGAAATTATATTGACAATAGTCTAAATTGCAAGAAAGCATTTGAAATTACAATGGCAAAAGTCTGAATTGCAAGAAAACAACTATAATTAGATTGACAAAAGCCAAAATTGCAAGAAAATATGTGAGATTACCTTGCAAAAAGTCTAGACTGCAAGATAATGTCTGGAATTACATTGGAAAAAGCTTGAACTGTATGAAAATGTATGGTTTTAAGCTTAGAATGCAAGGAAATGTCTGCAAATACACTGGTAAGAGTGTACATTGCAAGAAAATGTATGAAATTACATTGACAATAGACTAAATTGAAGAAATAATCTTGTCCAAAGTATTGTTCGTGATATAAGGAAGAAGAAGGCCGCCCTAAGTGTTGTTCGTGATACTTTGGTCGGCCGACGTCTTTGAAGTCGGCCGAGATTACTTCTTTCTGGAACCTATCTTGTTCTGTATCAACGTGATATCAAGCCACAGCATTTTGGAAGAAATAATCTCGGCCGATTTCAAAGACGCCTTCGATGTCGGCCGTGATTCTTTCTTATATCACGACATCATCTTATGTCACTACTATATTAAGATAATGCCTGGAATTACATTTGCAAAAGTCTGAACTCTATAAAAATGTGTGGAATTAAGCTGACAAATGTTTTGAATTACATTGGCAATAGATTGGTTGCAAGAAGTTATTTGAAAATATACTGGTAATAGTCTAAATTGCAAGAAAGCATTTGAAATTACAATGGCAAAAGTCTGAATTGCAAGAAAACAGCTATAATTAGATTGACAAAAGCCAAAATTGCAAGAAAACATTTGAAATTACACTGGCAAAAGTCTGAACTGCAAAATAATGTCTCGAATTAGATTGGCAAAAGTCTGAACTGCATGAAAATATATGCAATTAAACTGACAAATGTTAAATTGCAAAGTAATGCTTTGATATTATATTGGCAATAGCCTAGATTACGAGAAAATGTCTGAACTTACACTGTCAAAAGACAAAATTGCAAGAAAATATCTGAGATTACCTTGCAAAAAGTCTAGACTGCAAGATAATGTCTGGAATTACATTGGAAAAAGCTTGAACTGCATGAAAATGTATGGTTTTAAGCTTAGAATGCAAGGAAATAAGAGTGTACCAAGAGTGTATTGCAAGAAAATGTATGAAATTACATTGGCAATAGACTAAATTGAAGAAATAATCTTGCCCAAAGTGTTGTTCGTGATACTTTGGGCGGCCGACGTCTTCGAAGTCGGCCGAGATTACTTCTTTTTGGGACCTATTTTGTTCTGTATCAACGTGATATCAAGCTATAGCATTTTGGAAGAAATAATCTCAGCCAATTTTAAAGACGCCTTCGAAGTCGGCCGTGATTCATTCTTATATCACGACATCATCTTATGTCACTACTATATTAAGATAATGCCTGGAATTACATTTACAAAGGTCTGAACTCTATAAAAATGTGTCGAATTAAGCTAACAAATGTTTTGAAATTACCTTGGAAAAAGTCTAGACTGCAAGATAATGTCTGGAATTACATTGGAAAAAGCTTGAACTGTATAAAAATGTATGGTTTTAAGCTTAGAATGCAAGGAAATGTCTGCAAATACACTGGTAAGAGTGTACATTGCAAGAAAATGAATGAAATTACATTGGCAATAGACTAAATTGATGAAATAATCTTGTCCAAAGTATTGTTCATGATACAAGAAGGAATTTCGGCCGACTTGAAGACGTCGGTCGCCCTAAGTGTTGTTCGTGATACTTTGGGCGGCCGACGTCTTCGAAGTCGGCCGAAATTACTTCTTTCTGGAACCTATCTTGTTCTGTATCAACGTGATATCAACCCACAGCATTTTGGAAGAAATAATCTCAGCCGATTTCAAAGACGCCTTCGAAGTCGGCCGTAATTCTTTCTTATATCACGACATCATCTTATGTCACTACTATATTAAGATAATGTCTGGACTTACATTTGCAAAAGTTTGAACTCTATAAAAATATGTGGAATTAAGCTGACAAATGTTTTGAATTACATTGGCAATAGATTGATTGCAAGAAGTTATTTGAAAATATACTGGTAATAGTCTAAATTGCAAGAAAGCATTTGAAATTACAATGGCAAAAGTCTGAATTGCAAGAAAACAACTATAATTAGATTGACAAAAGCCAAAATTGCAAGAAAATATGTGAGATTACTTTGGAAAAAGTCTAGACTGCAAGATAATGTCTGGAATTACATTGGAAAAAGCTTGAACTGTATGAAAATGTATGGTTTTAAGCTTAAAATGCAAGGAAACATCTACAAATACATTGGTAAGAGTGTACATTGCAAGAAAATGTATGAAATTACATTGGCAATAGACTAAATTGAAGAAATAATCTTGTCTAAAGTATTGTTCGTGATACAAGAAGGAATTTCGGCCGACTTCGAAGACGTCTTAGTGATATCATCTTATATCACTATATTAAGATAATGTCTGGACTTACATTTGCAAAAGTCTGAACTCTATAAAAATGTGTGGAATTAAGCTGACAAATGTTTTGAATTACATTGGCAATAGACCAGATTGCAAGAAGTTATCTGAAAATATACTGGTAATAGTCTAAATTGCAAGAAAGCATTTAAAATTACAATTCCACACTTTCTACAATCATATTGCTGCTTCTTTTATTGCCTGAAGTACATATACATTTAATCCATGTTGCATATATAACAACTTTGATACAGAATAAGATCGTTTGTATAGATAATTGGCATTTTTCTGACAGTACTCCAGTATACGTGATATCTTTAGCAAAAAATTTTGATTGCAATTTAAAGTTTGGCCAGATCTCGAGTATCATGACCACCATAACTTATCACGAACAATACTTGGAGCGGCCCGTCAGACCATTTAACGAAATTAATAACGTTACTAATAGGGAGACAGAAGAGACAATAACGATAATATTGTAAGATATTGTGGCCCAAATTGGGTAGTATCTCGAATAAAGGATAGAAAAATAGGGAAAAGATAGATTCATTTTTTTAATGAATTAGAAAAATATGTATTTTTTAATTTTCAACATTTTCCACAATAAACTTACAAATAATAATTTACATATCACAAAAACCGTAAAAATCCTTAGTTAGCTATTATTCTCTTCAAAAACCAGATTGCTACCGCAAGCTGGACAGACTATAGTATCTTTATGAACCGTATTTTGCTCCTCAACCCCAAACTGCGTCGAACATTTTAAGCAAGAAAAAATCTCGAGAGATTCCGACGCCGGCCTAGCATCAACCAAAATTTTAATCCTCCCAAAGAATCGTTCCCTTTCTTCGACGTTTTCAATCAAATAAAATCGGTTATTGTTACTTCGAAACGTTTCAAATTCAATATAAACGTACTCGATTTCATCGAGAGTTGTTTTATTACACAAAATAATCGAATCTAACGAAATTCGTGATAAAACTTTCGAGGTTATCGCGTTTCTCTCAACCAAATTATTTTTTCCTATTATTGCAAAAACGTCGCTTTGACCACCTTTTATGTTTACTAAGAATATGTTGCTATCCCCACTTTCAAAGTCATCATCGCTTAATTTTTCGGTTTCTTCTGGATCGTCGTAAACCCCACTTTCTTCTTCAACGACTTCGTTATCTTTTAAATCTTTTAAATCATTTAATTCATTAATTGTCTCAGAAGCTGTTACGTATTGGCTCGTTTCTTCAATGTTTTCTTTAACCTTCGCCATTTCATCTGTGATATAATCTTGAAGCGGCGTTGAAGAAGATGGAGCTGAACCACTTTGCGTGGAAAAATCTAAGGGGGTAAATCCGGTTTTTCCATATAACGATTTAATGTAATCTTTGGGGATGCTGTTTAAATTTTCTTTCGGTTCTGAGTTAATTTTTGGGACCTCAACCGAAACGGAAACCGTTATTTTTTCGAAATTATCTTCATCGTCCGATTTATTTTCGTTGATAATCGCGGATCGAACTCGAATTGATCGTTCTAAATTTTCTTGAGGCTCAGATGGTTGTTCAACTTGCTTATAAAGACACTTAGGGTGTAAAGAACCCACATTTTGTTGCTCATAAGAACTCAAAACGTCGTCATCCAAGATAAACTTAACAGAGGATGTGTTTGAATGTAAATATTTAACGGTGTTAATCCTATGGTGGGGATGATAACTTAAAGGATTTCCTGTTAAATTTAACCATTGCAAAGCAACAAGATAAGAAAGTGGGATTAAATTGTTGTGTTCTAAAAGACAGTTTTCAAGTAAATCCAATTGGGTTAAATTAACAAGCTTAGAAACTGATTGAATATCCTCAATAAAATTACATCTTAAAACCAACATTTGGAGGCGGCTACAAATGGGGCGGGAAAAAACGGGAACTTTTTGCAACTGATTAAAACTTAAATTTAAATGTTTTAAACTGGATAAACCACTTAATTCATCACAATTTTTAATCGAATTATGTGACAAATCCAAAGTGGTTAACATAGGTAAATATTTAAGGCTATCATCAATACATTTAATACCATTATGATTTAGCACAGCTTCTCTCAACTCATACCAATTGCTACCATCAGAATCATCAGCACCACATCGTTCAAAAATATCTCTTAAACTATTTAAACTACGTTCGCAAACTAAATGTTGCAACTTTCCCCTTAAATTACTTATACCAATTATATTATTAACATTAATTCTATGCAATTCCAATAAACGCAACGATTTAAATTTAGAAATATCGATATTATCCGATTGTAAATCTCTGGGTTTTCCTAAACTTAACTTCAAACTTTTCGATTGTTGCACGAAATCGTGCAAAAAAGTTAAATCCCTGTTTATTTCGGTGAGGGTGTTATTTAAAACGTGAAACGATGAAGTTAAGGAACTCTCGTTATTGAATAAATCGTTTAATTCGTCGACTAAATCCGTTGAGAGTGTTAATTTGCACTTGTTCGCTAAAATTTTGTCCCCTTCGCTGCGTAATAGTGTTGCTAAGATTTGGATATCACCCGGAATCGCCATTATATCATTATTTCTTTTAACTAAAAAGAATTTGAAAACGATTTTATTTTAATTAAACATATAAGAAAGAACTTACTATAAATTCGATGGATTTAATAATAATAACCTAACCTCTTTGTTTCGAAACGTCAGTGTCAAAATTAAACGTCACGACAAATGATCTAATTTCATACGATCTAATTGTCAAAAAAAATTTTAAAATGATTTATTTTATTATTATAAAGATAAATTAATAAAAAATATAATTAATGTTGTTTTTAATGTTTTAACAACAGCAATTTTAGGTAAAATGAATTTAAAAAAATATATTTAATGGGTTATAAAAAACAACGAATTCATCAAATTTTCGAATTTATCTCAAAATTTAAGCATCTGAGAGAAAAAGTACAAGAGACTGATGTTATTAAGAATAAAATTTTCTACAATTTTTGTTCCAAAAGTTTTTTTGTAATATGATCGGTTACCATTAACAATTTGTGGAACAACGAAATTCATCAAATTTTCATATTTTTCTCGATATCTATGGCTCAAAGAATAAAAGTGAAAGAGAGCAATGTTATTAAGAATAAAATTTGCTACAACTTTTGTTCCAAAAGTTTTTTTGTAATATGATCCGTTTCCAGACTTTTAATATTAACAATTTATGGAACAACGAAAATCATCAAATTTTCATGTTTTCATATTTTTCTCGATATCTATGGCTCAAAGAATAAAAGTGCAAGAGAGCAATGTTATTAAGAATAAAATTTGCTACAACTTTTGTTCCAAAAGTTTTTTTGTAATATAATCCGTTTCCAGACTTTTAATATTAACAATTTATGGAACAACGAAAATCATCAAATTTTCATGTTTTCATATTTTTCTCGATATCTATGGCTCAAAGAATAAAAGTGTAAGAGAGCAATGTTATTAAGAATAACATTTGCTATAACTTTTGTTCCAAAAGTTTTTTTGTAATATGATCCATTTCCAGAGATCTACCATTAACAATTTATGGAACAACGAAATTCATCAAATTTTTATGTTTTCATATTTTTCTCGATATCTATGGCTCAAAGAATAAAAGTGTAAGAGAGTAATCTTATTAAGAATAAAATTTGTAACAAATTTTGTTACAAAAGTTTTTTTGTAATATAATCCGCTTCCAGACTTTTAATATTAACAATTTATGGAACAACTAAAATCATCAAATTTTCATGTTTTCATATTTTTCTCGATATCTATAGCTCAAAGAATAAAAGTGAAAGACAGCGATGTTATTAAGAATAAAATTTGCTACAAGTTTTGTTCCAAAAGTATTTTTGTATTATGATCCGTTCCAGACTTCTACCACTAACAATTTATGGAACAACGAAAATCATCAAATTTTCATGTTTTCATATTTTTCTCGATATCTATTGCTCAAAGAAGAAAAGTGCAAGAGAGCAATATTATTAAGAATAAAATTTGCTACAACTTTTGTTCCAAAGGTTTTTTTGTAATATGATCCATTTCCAGACCTCTACCATTATCAATTTATGGAACAACGAAATTCATCAAATTTTCATGTTTTCATATTTTTCTCGATATCTATAGCTCAAAGAATAAAAGTGCAAGAGAGCAATGTTATTAAGAATAAAATTTGCTACAACTTTTGTTCCAAAAGTTTTTTTGTAATATGATCCGTTTCCAGACCTCTACCATTAACAATTTATGGAACAACGAAAATCATCAAATTTTCATGTTTTCATATTTTTCTCGATATCTATGGCTCCAACAATAAAAGTGAAAGAGAGCAATGTTATTAAGAATGAAATTTGTAACAACTTTTGTTACAAAAGTTTTTTTGTAATATGATCCATTTCCAGACCTCTACCATTATCAATTTATGGAACAACGAAATTCATCAAATTTTCATATTTTTCTCGATATCTATGGCTCAAAGAATAAAAGTGTAAGAGAGCAATCTTATTAAGAATAAAATTTGCTACAACTTTTGTTTAAAAAGTTTTTTTATATTATGATCCGTTCCAGACTTCTACCATTAACAATTTGTGGAACAAGGATATTCATCAAATTTTCATGTTTTCATATTTTTCTCGATATCTACGGCTCAAAGAATAAAAGTGAAAGACAGCAATGTTATTAAGAATAAAATTTGCTACAACTTTTGTTCCAAAAGTTTTTTTGTAATATGATCCATTTCCAGACTTCTACCATTAACAATTTATGTAACAACGAAATTCATCAAATTTTCATGTTTTCATATTTTTCTCGATATCTATGACTCAAAGAATAAAAGTGGAAAAGAGCAATGTTATTAAGAATAAAATTCGCTACAACTTTTGTTCCAAAAGTTTTTTTGTAATATGATCCATTTCCAGACCTCTACCATTATCAATTTATGGAACAACGAAATTCATCAAATTTTCATGTTTTCATATTTTTCTCGATATCTATGACTCAAAGAATAAAAGTGGAAAAGAGCAATGTTATTAAGAATAAAATTTGCTACAATTTTTGTTGCAAAAGTTTTTTTGTAATATGATCTGTTTCCAAAATGCTTCGGGAATCGAGTGTCTTGCACAATTTTTGGTAGATCAAGTCTTTTGCCAGCAGTATTTAGTATTTTGCAAGCACTATTCAATGTTTTGCAAGAAGTGTTAAACGTTTTGCAAGTATTGTTTTATTAACAGTTTCTATTTGTTTGCATTCAAAATGTTTTCTGTCAGCAGAATTTAGCTTTTTACAAGCAGCATCTAGTCTTTAATTACTGGTTTTTGGACTTCTGCCATAAATATGATAGTAATTAGTGTTTTACAAGCAGTATCAAATATTTTATTAACAGTTTTAACTGAAAATCTCATCTGCGAGCAGTATGTTTTTTGCAATGAAAATGTTTTCCGTCATTAATTAGTAATTTTTGGACTATTAAAAAACATCGATTTTTTCTCGATATCTATACATCTGAAAGCAAAACTGGAAGAGAGCAATATTGTTAAGAATACAATTTGCTATAACATTTTTATTGTAATATGATCCGTTTCCCGAGTGCAACCATTAAAAAGTTGTAAAGATACCGAATTTCATCAAATTTTTAGCAACTTTGGGTAAAAAAAAATCAAGAAAATATATTTAACTCTATAATAAAATCATTCGAATTAACACATTTATATAATTAAATTCAAAGTAAACAAATACAATCTTTAAATTTAAGATAATCTTATTCCTTGACCACCAGGGCACTCACCTTTACTTAAAATTCTTAAATCTAAAGCAAAAAAAGAATATTAACTCAAAAATACCTAAAAGAAATTAATTTTCTTACTAGCACTTTGTTCGCAATTATAATTACTCAAAACACATTCATTTCCAAACGATAATTTCTTTCCATTATCATCAGTTCCACAAACCGGGTTATAATCATCCAATGGACATTCCCTTAAACATTTCTTTTTCAACGAAGGTTTCGTCGAACCCTTCGCTGGCGATCCCAAAACCGCCGCTAATAACACTGAAAAAACGCGCCAAAATAAATGGCCAAAAATCAGAATTAACAAGATTTTCGTCATGATGATGATGCATCGAGAAAAGAAGGTTGGAGGATGTTGATGAGAAGCATGTGATTAGTTTCAATGAGGACAATCGGATTTAACAGGATAATTGGAGATTTCTTAAAAGTAATTTGCAAATTTAGCGAATCAACAAATTAACCTTGAATTGTTTCCTGTTTTTGTTTTTTTCACAAAAAAAGGTGTTGAAAATACGAAGAAACAAAGAGTTTAAACAAAAAAGAGTTAATGAAACGAGGTGAAACGGTTTTTTTTTATAAATAAGGTTACGCAAGATGTTTAATTATAGATATTATCTGGGAATTAAAACAAGAAAAGAGAATGTTAACTCAAATTAGTTTTGAATTATTAAATATAAATTAAATTAATTACTTTAAACTCACCTAGAAGGAATACAGCGAAAATTACGACCTTCATTATGGCTCTTATTACGATACAAAACTAACCCAAATACAGTCAAAGAGTTGTTGGCTTATATAAGATCCCCTCCATCATTTTATAGTAGTTGATTTGACATTGTAAGGTGAAACTTAATCATCAACTAAGAATAACGAAAAATATGTATCAAAAAATCATCAAAGAAAGATTAATAACGAAGAAATAAACTTTAAAATTTGATTTTTTTTAAATATATCAGGATCGATGTTATACAGGTGTCCATAAAATCATTTTCGATTATACCATACCATTTATCAGCGTTATGTTAATATATTATCATTGAACTATACCGCAGAATCTACTAAGATTAGGTAGGGACAAGAATGTCGCTTAAAAGAAGCCGAACAATCTCAACATCGACAACAACCGAGATGTATGGATGATGTATGATGGCCGTATGAAGGTCAGACGATGATGTTGCGATGCATAAGCACCTTTAGTTATATTTAATAAGCATCCTAATTCTTGGAGAACTGTATGATGCATCTTTGTAACTCCCGATGCTCTTTTAGAGATTTCCCTAAATTGTTGGCATCGCCGCTGGAATATACAAGAATAATAAAATACATGGATATGCAACACTTAGCAAAACTGGGCATGTCGCAGAAGTTGATAAGTTTAACTAATATCACGTTAACATATAAAAGGATAAAGAATTGCATGGCTGTGATATTTGGAAAGGATGCAAGGATACAGCGGAGTGAAAAGAATTGTTAATGGACACCACAGGTACAGAGAGTTGTAAGATCAAAGAAACGATGTAAGGATGATGTGATGGAGAATATTAGGATTAATAAATCTCCACAAAATTCATCTTATATTCGTACGATATTACCACCGACAACGTTTGAAGTAGTATAAAGTGGTGTTAGTGATTTTTCAAACAGTATTTAATCTTTTATTTGAAGTTTCTGGAATTCTGCTATGAAAATCTTGTATTTTGCCAACATTATTTAGTGTTTTTTGTGTTGCGGAGTGCGCTTTAGGTTAATTGAAATAAATAAGGCCAAGAGAAACTTAAGATGTAACAAAATACGTTTTTATTCTTTAATAACAACTTTTACTAGCACACAAGGTTCACGATTGCCAACCTCGTCTCTTACAAAAACCCTATTTCAACACCTTCCCTCAATCAGAACCTTGTTGCAAAAAAAATAAAAAATCAGTTTAACATTTCGTCTCTTAACTGCTTAAATCTAATGCCGTTCAATGGTTTAGTAAATATATCGGCTAATTGTTTACCACTATAAATATACTCGATTTCAATCAACTCTGTTTTGATTTTACCTTTTATAAAATGATATTTAATATCTAGATGTTTCATTCTTTTCATCTGTTCATGAGATTTTATTGTACGTATAGCTGATTGGTTGTCTTCGTAAATCACCACCTTTGAATCTTGCCTGTCTGTTAATTCATCTAATAATTTTTTAAACCAACAAGCTTCACTTATTCCTAAGCATAACGACACATACTCGGCTTCAGTTGTTGACAAAGCCACGGTACTTTGTTTCTTAGATGTCCAAGCCACCATACACCCATGTATTAAAAAACAAATACCACTGGTTGATTTTCTATCCACTGTGTCACCTCCCCAATCGGCATCGGCATACCCCAATATTACATTAGTGTTATATTTTTGATAAGTTAATTTCAAATCTAGCGTTCCCTTAATATAACGTAATACTCGTTTTAATGATATAAACAATTTTTCGCTAGCACAACTCTGAAATCTTGATAATATACTAATACATAAACATAAATCAGGTCTAGTAGCTAACATACTATACATAATACAACCTATCATTTGTCTACATTTATGCTCTAACTCTGTACTTTCGCTTTCAGTTCTTATTAAAACATTACAATCAAAATTGTTCTCCATAGGGGTACCCACCGGTTTACAATCAAACATATCATATTTTTTAAGTAACCTTTCTAAATAACTTTTCTGAGAAAGAGTAATTTTTCCATTTGTCTCATCTTGAATTACATGTATTCCCAAATAATAACTTAACAGTCCCAAATCTTTCATTTAAAAGAATTCATGTAATTTATATTTTAAATTTTCAATGTTCTGTTTAGAGGAACCTGTTTATCAATATGTCATCAACATAAATTGATACGTAAATTTTAAATTTTTCTGAAATCTTAATATACAAACAATTATAGCAATTACTTTTAACATAACCTTCTGCCAACATAAATTCTTCAAATTTATTGTACCAATACAATGGTGCCTTTTTTAAACCGTAAAGGTTCACGATTGCCAACCTCGTCTCTTACAAAAACCCTATTTCAACATTTTGTAAGGAAGGTCATCAAGTTTTTTGCCAGCAGTATTCAATATTTTGCAAGCAGTATTCAAATTTTGCAAGCAGAGTTAAGCGCTTTACAAGTAATCTCAACTGTTTTATTAACAGTTTTTATTTGTTTGCACTCAAAATGTTTCCTGTCAGCAGAATTTAACCTTTTACAAGCAACATCTAGTCTTTAATTAGTGGTTTTTGGATTTCTGCCATAAATATCGTAGTAATTAGTGTTTTAAAAAGAAGTATCAAATATTTTATTAACAGCTTTAACTGAAAATCTCTTCGGCCAGCAGTATGTAGTCTTTTGTAAGTAGTATTTCGAGTTTTAGTATTTAGTCTTTAATTAGTGGTTTCTGGACTTCTGCCATAAGAATCTTGTCTTTTGCCAGGAGTACTTAGTGTTTTACCAGTAGTATCAAATTTATTATTAACAGTTTTTTGTTTTTTGCAATGAAAATGTTTTCCGTCATTAATTAATAATTTTTGGACTATTAAAAAACATCGAATTTTTCTCGATATCTATACATCTGAGAGCAAAAATGCCAGAGAACAATATTGTTAAGAATAAAATTTGCTACAACTTTTGTTCCAAATCTATTTTTGTAATCTGATCAATTTCCCTAGTTCTACCATTAATAACTTGTAAGACAACAAAATTCATTAAATTTTCATATTCTCATATTTTTCTCGATATCTATACTTCTGAGAACGGAATATATAATAATGGGAGGGGATTTCAGTGCTAGAGTGGACGAGAAGGGGGGAAGGGGGGAGATATGGGGAGAGGAGGGACGACGGCGGTCGAAGGATGCTGTGCGGAATGGAGAAGGAACAGAAATGCTGAGATGGGTGGAGGAGAACGGATGGGAGATACTGAATGGGAATAAAGAGGAAGGAGAGGAAGGGGAGTATACTTACATCGGGGCGAGGGGGACATCTGTGATTGATTATGTATTGGTGGATCAGGAAATGTGGGAGAGGGTGGAAAGGTTTAAAGTGGGAGAAGCGGTAGAGTCGGATCACCAACCGTTGGAGGTGGAGGTAAAGGGGGTGGGCGACAGAAGGCGAGCGGAACTGGGTAGCAAGTTCATCAGGACAGATTGGTCGGAAGAAGGGG